TACCTCAGAGTCTTGGCCCGAGGAGGGCGCTCTTCTGTGTGGGGCTATGTGTCTGTAAAGAGGTTGTTGGATTTCTCCATTATAGACAGGTATGGGGCATTGCAGGCTAACAAAAGAAGCCAAACAACCTCCATTTTAAAGGGGTGGGCCCGTTCTGGTTCAGTTTGCATGTTTGGGCTTTAATGGGCTACTGTATAAAGCCTCAAACTCCACATTATTTCTGACATTTTGAATTGAAAAACCCTCCTGGATGGGAAGCGAAATGTCTTCAAACTTAGAATCAAGGTCCAGTGGATTGTTTTTCACTTTTTTGAATGAAAAAATATAGTTGATGATGTTGTTTTTCCGGGTGGATCATCATAGTAAATGGTCCTCATAATTGTCAGTCATTCTGCTGATATGTTTACTTAAGGACGTCTTACGCGCTCGACCCCATTTTCACTTACCAGTGGTGAGTCTGACATAGTGGAAAAATTGCAAATCTTCTTTTGGAAAGTAAGCCTGTATGAGCGATGCAAAAAGCATCTTTTAAACAGAGCGTGCACGAGGAGAAATTGGCTCGTGCACGCTCTCACACGCGTTTAATAGGCGTTCCTTCTCTGGAGCAGGTACAGGGTTGTGCATGTGCATGGAGAGGGCGGGTCTTTTCAAAAATACATCAAAATCCTCCACTATACCTTTAATATTTAAATCATGTTTTACAAACGCAAATGTTCTCCGTCTTTCTTATTTAATGGTACATTTATTTATTTTCGTGACGTTTACATACGTATCTCATGCTAAACTTTAGCACCAAAGTGTGACAAAGCAAAAAAAGAAATATTGTACAAAAAACCTTTTCCTCTTTACTTTATTTCCAAATATCAATCTGATTTATTGATTCAGAGTTCATTTAAAGGCTAATCTGTTTATGCAGATAAGATCGTTTTACCAATCACACATTATAGTTTGTATTTCTTTGACTGTTTTCTGTTTTGAAAGGATCCTGAGGACATAAAAAAATGAGACATTTCTGACTGCACAAATTTTTTAATTCACTTCAACATTTATGGACAAAAAGATTTCATTACTTGAGTCTAACCCTGATTCCTGTCATACAGAAAAGCACAATATCATCATACAGAGTAGTGATTGAAAGGGCAGCTCACTGTTTGCGTAGCAGCCAATCAGGATGGTCGAAGCAGACATGGAATGAGAAGAGCATGTTTTTTTGTTTTCTTTAAATAGCCTCGATGAGATTTTCCACTGAGTTTCTCCAACTGGCTCAAACATTAAAAAATAAAAGGAACAAGTATAACAACAGCAATTTGTCCCATTTTGGGGGGGTATTTACACACATTAAAAGCTACCAGCAGAGTTAAACCTGCCGCTTTTCTTAAAGAGCTCATAAAGTAGATTGTCATCAACTGCAGCAAAGAGAAGCAGACTGGATTCCTCCTTCTTTCTCCTCAATCGTTTCAGGGACAAAGCTAAGAAAAAAAAAATGGCATTAAACAACATTTCCCAGTAACACTCAGTAACCGCTTCTCTTTATTTTTGTCCACCCTCTCGCCGCTTTGACAGAGCGGCAAACTTTTACTGTCTGTTGTCCACGCAGGCGCCCAGTTCTGCAAACCACCGTTTTAAACCATGGAAATAAAAGCTAGAAATAGCACGCAGTGACAGCAATCCTAACCATAATAACAACAATATTAAAATAATCATAATAATAATCAGGGATAAAGATAGCAATAAATAGGCTGGGTGAAGTTTGAGTGCAGGACTGGGGGGGGGGGACGACTACCGCACATAAAGTGACTGATTGTTTGGTTGCAGAACATCTAGACCCTGTCTTTAAACCTTTATTTTCCTTCCACCACGCTTTTAATGGGTGGAGCAGGGAAGAGGTCGGGGGCCGAGCGTCTCTCTGCTGCCCCCCCTCATCCTCCTGTTCCTCCAGGAGATCAGGCTTGAAAAGCGTCTGTCTTTGTGAACTTTAAGTGCTAAACCAGTGAGTTTTGAAGTAGAATTCGGCCTTTTTCCCCCTCAGTGGATTAAAGCTTGATGATGAATGGAGGCCCAGGCAGGAAAAAAGTTCACCAGGTGGGTCTGTTCCTCGTGAGGTGTGCTCAGGTGGTTTGGAGGAGGGACGTCCGGTGCAGCAAAGGTCATATCTGCCTTTTTTAAACAAATCTAATTGATGAAAACATTTTTTTTGTGGTAATTTTCTCACAGCTGTACGACCGCTCCTAGAAACCTGCAGTCTTTTCTGAGGTAAATTCACAAGTTCCACAAATCTGAGATTGTCACAATAAACTGTCAGCTGAGCCGTTTTTAACAAACGGGATCTCAGCTCGGCGTGCCGCCATGTTCCAGGAGATTTTTCTTCTTCACTTTCTTCCCTCTTGATGTCTGCTAGCTTCTACCTTTGGTAGTCAGTCTGCTGCTGAGGACTGGATGAGGAGCTCCCAGGAACCATTGGAGCACCGAGTCGGCCGGGGCCCTTATCCTTGCCGTCCTCCTGAGCGGCGTTGGTACCTGAGGATGACTGAGTGGAGGTGGAGCTGGAGGAGGGCGGGGGCTGGTTCAGGCCTCCCGTGCTCCCACTGCTCCCCTCTGCCGTCTGGTAGATCTCCTCGGCTCCATCCTCACTGGACTCTGGATCCTCGGAGCCAGAGAGCAGCTCCTCGTCTCTGTATTCGCTCACGTCCACCCCTCCGCTGGCGGCAGCCCCCTCGCCCAGCTCTTTGAGGCGGCCGTGGTGCTTGACGTGGTAGCGCTGGTTCTGGAAGAACTTGATGATGGTGTGTTTGGGGAGGTCGAGCTGCGCAGATAAGGTGTGGATTGCCTCCTGGTCAGGGTACAGACCAACGTCCTGAATGAAGCTTTGCAGGATGCCAAGGGCCTCTAAGGAGATCTAGAAAGAAAAAAAATATTGAGTTGAATTGAGAGAAAAAAGGAAAAGAAACATGTTTCGGCACGGAGGAACAAGAGTCATACAGATGTTCGCAGACTCGTTTTTCTAGCTGGTCCATCTTCACGAGACAATTCCGCAATGGCGGTCATACAAACAAAATCTATCTGCATTTACTGCATTAACTGCGACACACACACTCAGAAAACCCGGTTTCTGAGCATAAACCGGTTTGTAAGGGGGTGAACGCTGTGAGTACATAATGTCACAGCAAATTCAAAAGAAGTTGTAACGCCCAAATTTAGAACAGCAAACACACAAAAAAGAGGCTGACAAACAAAACTTATGCAAGGAAATAAATGCTGCAGGTAACAAAAACAAATACAAGCTAAGAAAAACTTCAGACAAGCACTGCTGAACAAAGGGCTCCAGACCACTAGGGGGAGACTGTCAACATATGGGACCAGACCATAGAGGTTACATGACTGAATGTCTATGGATCAGAGCCTTAGCAAAGCATAAAAAGGTATGTGTGTTAGCATCATTTATGTGTTCGCAGCAGGTTTTTGTGTTTGCACCACGTTTCCACTGTTTTCTGTGATTGCGTTTTTTTTCTACTTTGCAGCTTTTTTTTTAACCTGCAATTGTTTTCGCAACTTGCAGCATTTTTTTTTCTTAGCATGTGTTTTGTTTTTGTCTGTTAGCACCGTTTATGGGTTTGCAGCAGGTTTTTATGTTTACACCATGTTTCCACTATTTTCTGTAATTTTTTTTTTTTCCTTTTTGTAGTTTTGTTTTTGAACCTGCAGTTGTTTTCGCTACTTGCAGCATTTTTTCTCTTTCCATATGTTATGTGTTTGTGTTTTAGCATCATTTATATGTTTGCAGCAGGTTTTTGTGTTTGCACCATGTTTCCACTGTTTTCTGTGACTGCAACTTTTTTTCTCCTTTGCTGCTTATTTTATTACATGTTTTTGTGTGTGTTTGGGAGATAATGTGTTTTCACCAGCATAAGTTTTCCTTGCTAAACGTCTCGGCCTCATCCAGACTGAACAGAGCATCTCTCACAAAAAACAACCTAAGTCTGTCCTTTGGAAGGGTAAATAAAATTGTAAAGCTTTATTTGGGGCCCAAGTCCAGATGCATCCCTCTCCAGCACCTGATGTCATTAGCAGGCCTCTGCAGAACCGAATGGCTGAATGCTGTTAAGTCGAGCTGGGGAAGGATGCATCTATATGTGCAGAATAAGCCCCACCTTAAAATCATGTCCGTGTTTGTACCTTAGTGCGTGATCGTGGCTTCTTGTTGCTGCCAGCGCTACTTGCCGCAGCAGCGGGAGCACATCCACCCGCTGCTCCGACTCCCACATTCTGCGACCTCTCCTCAGTGGGCTGAGCAGGTAACGGCTCCTCTCGCATCGGGGACAGGCGGTGCTCCTTTGCTGGGTGTGGCGGTGGTCTGTGAAGCGCCTGGCGGGACAGAAAGTAGAGCTGATTAATGGGGCACAGTGACCCCTGATCCAAACCAAAACTGAAATCCATTTTATAAGAAAAAAAAGTTCAGAACACTGTGATGCAACTCGTCTTATAAAGCATCCATTAACTGTAGCACACAGTAGTCTGGGCTGCAGGGGGACAAAGGGTGAGAACAAGTGTTTCACGCCATCATGCGCCATTAACTCGCTGCAGGGCCGCCTTTAAAGGCCGTTCCTTCCAGTAAACCTTTGACCTAATGTGTGTAAGATTAGCTGTAGTGAAACACCAACCAGCTGGAAGCGTCTTCCGGCCCAGACACTATTTAACCAGCTCATTCACAACCTCTGATGGATGGGGCTGTTCAAGGTCAGCCGTAAGAAAACATTATGAAATAATGTAGCATGCATATGGATTCCAGAGGCCATGATTCTCCTCATCACATCAAAAAATTAACCCTGAATCCTCTTGGTCAGCTGATCTGCCTTTGATTTTATTAATTTATTGAGTTTGTTAAAGTAGGAAAGAAAGGAAGATTCTAGCTCAGTTTAAAAACATTATTTCAAAACGGCACTGCAGAAAAATGAAATCTAAATAAGTTATTGTTTCCTAAAATAAGGGATTTTTTTTATTTTTTTTTATTGAGGAGGTAAGTGAGAATCTTTAGAACAAGAAAATTTACATTTAAAATAAGAAAAAAAATAATTGCATTGTCCTATTTGAGGCTCATATTATCTAATTATCTTAGTATAAGAGTAAAAATATAATTCCATTGGCAGATCGTCTCACTTACCTACTCAGATTAAGGGTAAATACACAATACATATTTACTTATTTCTGGATCATATTTAAATTTAAAATAAATTTAACACCAATCAGAGTGCATTTGGTCTGAATTAGTGTTAAATTAACTCTCCAGTTGTTGTAATAACTCTAAAAGAGTCAATGTACTTTGACACTGCATATTTAAAGGTGTAGCGCACAATCTTTTATTTCCGGGTGGATCATCTCAATAAGTGGTCCTCCTAACTGTCAATCATTCTGGTGATATTGTTACGTAAGGCCGTCCTACGTGTTCGTCCCGTTAGCTATCTTTTTCTCCGCACTTGCAGGCGTATATCTCTGGTAAGCTACGGTTTCAGACGGTCATTGAAGCTCACCTTTCTCACCGCGGTTCTTTGAAAATGGGTCATAAGAGAAGAAGTGTCTACGAAAAAAAGAAAGGCCTCAGAAGAGGTGGATATATCCCAGAATGCTTTGCGTGGGGAACTCTCCTTGCAAAGAATTATGGAATTTTCTGTCACAGCGGCCCGCTGTCGCCATAGGCTGTTGCACCGCACAGTGGAGGAGGAGTTAAGTGACCGACGGAGCAAAAAGCAGTGATCATCTGTCCGAACGGTCAGTTAACTGACTTCACCATAAAGTCCACTATATAGACCCTGCTGTCTGCGGACACAGGAAGCTTGTATGAGCTTTGAGAATAGCACATTTTTAACAGAGCGTGCGCGAGGAGAAATGGACTCCTGCATGTTCTTGCACGCTCATTTTTTTTAAAGTGGAGACTGCAAAAAATTGATATCTAGATAAGTAATTTTTTCTTAAAATAAGTGCATTTGTTCTTGGATTGAGGAGGTAAAAGTGACATTTTGCAAATGGAAAAAGACAATTTACACTTAAAATAAGAAAACTCAATTGGTTTGTCTTATTTCAAGTGCATATTATCTAATTATCCTAT